AACAAATAATAAAACTAAATTCCCTCCCCCACACTTATTATCAACATTGTCCCCAATGTTGAACAAAAAAGCACAGAAAAAGGGTTATTGAATGAGAAAAGGGAATAAAAGAAAAAGAATGGAACAAACACACCTTAGGTTGCCTCCCAAGCAGCGCCTTTGTTTATCGCCGTTGGCTCGACTTATGATATTTCTTTAAATTTCCATCGCCTTTTTGAGTACCTTCGATGATTATGATTATTCAAAGAAATAGTCCCGTCTTGCAAATTAGTACTCAAAGATGATTTATTATGTTTTTCTTCTTTATTTTCATTAGAAGCAATTTCATCAAATGTAACAAACTTCAAAGAATCAACAAAAATTGCAAAATTATCATCACTAGGAGATTTCATGGTATCATAAATATTAACAGTCACAAGTTTACCATTAGACTCCATAGTAAGCATACCACTATGAATATCAATTTTTGTTTTTGCAGTTTTTAAGAATGGCCTTCCTAACAAAATATGATTATTATTTTTCATACCAAGCACATAAAAATCAGCAGGACAAACCAAGTTATTAACTTCAACAATCAAATCCTCAATCACACCCCTAGGATATGTAGTAGATCCATCAGCCAATTGAATTATTATACTAGATTTATTTAGAGGTCCAAGATTTAAAGAAGCATACACAGGATATGGCATCACATTAATAGAAGCTCCTAAATCTAACATAGCATTTTCAAGTTTAACACCACTTATCATGCATGGGGTAGTAAACATACCTGGATCTTTACACTTTTCAGGAAGATTGTCTTGACTAGCCATAGAGACATTCTCATGCACTTTCCTTTCCTCAACTCCTTTATTTTGTTTATTTTTCAATGTGCATACCTCTTTTAGAAAAATTGCATAGCGAGGTACCTTTTTCATAGAATCTAAAAATGGTTAGTGCTGTCACATTCACGAAAGGTCTCATATAAATCGTTATTTGAGTTTCCTCTTATTGGTTCTAAAAGAGCTTGAGGAAATGGGGGTACTGGTTCATAATCAGAAAAAGAAGAAAGCTTACCATGGGACGTCTCTTTATTATTGACAATGTTACCTGCACATGTTTCCTTGTCTAAATCAACATTCTTTTTCAGCAACATACTTCTCACAGTAATTGCACTTACATTTTCTTTTGGATTAACCACCGTTTGAGAGGGTAGTTTGCCAGAACTCTGTGCTTCTAACCGACTTACCGTAGTTTCTAGTTGGCCCATTTGTCTTTCCAAGTTTTGAATACTAGCCTTTGTTTCTTGAATACTAGCTCTTGTCTCTTGTTGGAATAGTTGTGTTTCTTGTTGAAACTGCAAAGTGTTAGTAGCAAGAGATTTAACAATATCTTCTAAATTCATACCTGAGCTAGAGCTTTGGGTTGGTTGTTGTCTTGAAGGAAATGGTTGTCTGTACTGTTGAAAATTAGAACGATTCTGAACAAAGTGGTTCCCTTGTGAGTTCCCATAGCTAAGATTTGGGTGATCCCTCCATCCAGGATTATATGTATTGGAGAACGGATCATACTTACCTTGAGGTTGTCCAGGAAAACCTCCAGCCATGTTAACTTGTTCAATAGGTTCTTCTTGAAGAGTTGGGCAGGCATCAGTTTGATGCCCAACTACCGAGCAAATTCCACATGCTTTAACAGTTTGCATATTTCCTACTGCTAATTGACGGACAAGAGTAGTTAAACCAGAAATTTGTTGTTCAAGAGCAGAAATATTTACCTCATTCACATGCTTAGACGGTTGGACTATTCTATTGCCAAACTGTTGAGAATTTGCAGCCATGTTCGCAATTAGAGTTCTTGCAGCGTCTGGTGTTTTGTCAACTAAAGCACCACCGCTTGCAGCATCAATCATGCTTCTATCCACTGGAAAAAGTCCTTCATAAAAATACTGAATGAGTAATTGCTCACTAATTTGATGGTGTGGGCAGCTTGCACATAGTTTCTTGAAACGCTCCAAATATTCATACAATGACTCTCCATTGTTTTGCCTTATACCACAGATTTCCTTTCTAATGTTGGCCGCCCTTGAAGCTGGGAAATATTTTTCAAGGAACATTGTTTTCAAGTTATTCCATGTGGTGATGCTCCCAGAAGGTAGATAATATAGCCAATCCTTCGCTGAATCTTTCAACGAAAAGGGGAAGGCTCTCAACTTGATTTGTTCTTCAGTAACCCCTGTGGGTTTCATACTTGAACACACCACATGGAATTCCTTCAAGTGTTTGTGGGGATCTTCACCTGTAAGTCCATGAAAAGAAGGCAAAAGATGAATTAATCCAGATTTCAGTTCGAATTGTACATTAGCATCCAGAGCAGGGAAAGTGATGCATAAAGGTTGCTGATCCAAATTTGGAGCTCCAAGCTCTTTTAAAGTCTGATTTTGAGCCATGGGTTCCTCTTCTAAATCAGAGTTGGCAGAATCGGTAGCCAGATCACTAAACTCTAATTTCCTCAAAGCTTGTTTCCTCCACCTGCGTACAGTTCTTTCAATTTTTGGATTGTATGGCAAGACTTCTTTGTTAGCAGATCGAGTTATAGGCATAAACCGTTAAAGATAGTGTAGCAATTATGTAAAAGTAACGAAAGAAAAGATTTTTAAATTTTTTTTTTTGGGACAAATGAAAAAAAATTAAACAAATAACGAAATAACGAAATAAATAAATAAATAAACACAAAATAAGCTAGAAAATCTCCCCGGCAAAGGCGCCAAAATTTGGTGAGCTGTCGTAGGCTCCCAAATTAAAACCTTACAAACGTAGTAGCGGGAGTAAGGATCGATCCCACGAGGAGTAACTAGTTTAACTTTTGTGCTCAAATTAAAGGTAGAGGGGGGGGGGGTTTGGAATATATCGAGAATAAAGATAAAATAAAAGAGAATTTAAATAAACAAGAAATTTAATTGAACGAATAAAGCAATGAAAATAATATATCGAAAACACTTATAATAGGAGACTTTGGTTAGTAAAGATCCACCACCGGAATTCAACACTGATCATTGATTAATAAAGTAATTAATATGCAATTGAATATTTGTCGTGAAATTATTTCATTTCTGTTTTCCCTTAGTTGTAGGTAAATAAAGCACAAGCGGTTTAATTTCCCCTAACTACTAAATAATCTAAGACAAGCGCTATAGATTTAATTTAATAGCAGCAATAGGAACTAGGAAAACCGACAAACTAAATAACACAAGCACAAGCGGTTGCATTTAATTTAGGAAAATATTCTACCCGAGACCAATTATCACTAAGCCGTCAATAATTAACCTCAGTTGCTACTGAATATTAGAATAATTTGTAGCACAACATTATCTAATATAGCAAATAATTTAGAAGAATATTTAATACTCAAAATGCATAAAAACATATATATAATAAAGTTAAATAAATAACCTTACAGCGTTATGAACTCCGGGGCTTCAATTCACTAAACCAACTAGAAATTAGCCACAAATGGACATTGATAACAACTTCAACGAATACTATAGAGGAGGGAAGAATGAACATTTTACAATAGAAAACCTTAACTATTTATATATTTTCCCAATCATTTTCTACCACTCATTTTTCCTATTATTTTGCCTTATGCCTGAGTCTTCCACAATTCCAGCCATGTTATTATGATGCATGCCTGTACAAAAAAGAAAAAATCAATTGTAAAGTTTAGATTTATAATATATATATATATATATATATATATATATATATAAGTAATTATAATGTAGTACGCATTATATGTATACTATAATGCATTCTATATTATATATATTATATTATATATTATATTGTATATTATATATATATAGTATTAAGTACGTAGTATGTACTCTTATAAATTATATATTATATATATTATATATAATATAAGAATAGATTATACTATGTATATAAAAAGAACTAATTATTAAATAATATTAAATAATTAATATAAAAATATTATAAAGATGTACCTAAAATATGAGCGTAAAATATGCCCATCAATTTTCGAAAAATTTTAGACTTAATAAGTTAATTAACTTTTCTACAATAACAAAATAGTTATGTTTACACTTTAACTATCTAGTACTCAAAGTCAAAGCTATCTAGTTATGTTGACACTTTAATTAGATTGAGGCAAAATCTAACTTAGGCAAGAATTTTATAAAAGCGAGCCTTATAAGTATAGTATTAAAGATTTTGTTCGTAGCAAAATTGTCCAAGTATTGGAGTACAAAGAGAGTTCAATTGATGGTCCTGATTAATGATGATTAAAGTCTAAATGGGAATGCATAGAATTTTAAGGATTTTTAAAGTAAAAGAGAATTTGCTCAAAACTTAAATTTTCAAACTAACTTCAATTTTCAATACATTCCGTAAGATAATGTTGATCACTTTATTTATAGTAGTCAAAAAAATATGTTACAAGTTAAATAATGATATTGCAAATTGAATAAAATTAAAGATTTTTTAAGAAAAATATAATGTTTCAATGAGGAGATCAGATAAATTATGGCAGTAAAGTAGAGTGTATAGAAAGTAAAGACACAAGAAATATATAATGGTTTAAAGATAATGTAATCATTTTAAGTCGCTCTTCTCCTATTGTCTAGAGAAAATTCACTATAAATTATTTACACCCTTCCATTATAGTGAATCAAACAAATCAAACAATCAAGTGCTTGTTGGAGAACTTGGATTCAGGAACAATGGTGTGTATTCATTACAATCAGAGAAAGCTCATAAGAGCTGAAAACCATACAGAATGAATTGAAAGATAACAAAAGAAAGAAACAGCCTTTTGCTACTTAAGCCCTAGAGTAGTTATGGAAGTTATAACTAACTAAACTAACAAACTAACTCTAGGAAAAGACAAAAGAGCCCTTGGCTATAAAAGGTGGAAGAGAGAGCTGATGTTTTCTGCTATGATCTATTGATGGCTTCATCATCTAGGCTGCATTATCTTCATCACCCCTCCCCCCCCCCCCCTTAAGCTGGAGAGTAGAGGTCTTGAAGTCCCAGCTTAGTATGAAAAGAATCAAACAAAGGAATAGGCAAGGCCTTGGTGAATCCATCTGCTATCTGTTTGTGGGATGGAATGCTCATCAACCTGATTATTCCTTCTTGCACCTTTTGTCTGACCACATGGCAGCCAATCTCTATGTGTTTGGTGCGTTCATGAAAGACATGGTTCTCACTTATGGCTATAGCAGACTTGTTATCACAAAACAAGGAAATGGGACTGGCTGTGTAGCTGTTTGCTTTTAGATCTGCCAGAAGATATAAAAGCCACTGGATTTCACATACTGTAGAAGCTAAAGCTCTGTATTCAGCTTCAGATGATGATCTACTGATGGTAGCTTGTTTCTTGGTCTTCCAAGAGATGAGAGATTTCCCAAGATAGATGCAAAAACCTGTTATAGACTTTATGGTTTCTGTGCATGTAGCCCAGTCTGAATCTGAAAAGGCTTGTAGCTTAAGTTCAGAGTTGGAAGCATAGAAAAGTCCTTTTCCAGGTGAGGCCTTGATGTATCTTAGCACCCTATGGGCTGCAACCAAATGTGTGCTTCTTGGCTTATCAACAAATTGACTCAACTGCTGCACAGAGTATGAAATGTCAGGCCTAGTGTTGGTTAAGTAGAGTAGTTTGCCAACCAATCTTCTGAACATTTCAGGATTGTCAAGAAGTATGCCTTCAGTACTGTTAAGCCTTGTTCCTGGGGTACAAGGTATCTTGGCAGGTTTGGCATCTAGGAATCCATTTTCATCTAGAATCTCCAATGCATACTTCTTTTGACAGAGATTTAACCCTGTACTTGTTCTGACTGCTTCCAAGCCTAGAAAGTAGTTAAGCTACCCAAGATCCTTGATTCTAAAAGCTGAATCTAGCATCTGCTTTAGCTGTTTTATTTGATCAGAGTTTGTTCCTGCAACAAGTATGTCATCTACATACACAAGTAAGGCAAGGAAGGAATTATTAGATGACATAGTGAATAGAGAAGGATCTGATGATGATTGCTGGAAGCCATAGGCTAATAATGACTTTGTTAGCTTGGCATTCCATTGTCTGCTAGCTTGTTTCAACCCATATAGAGATCTAAGCAATTTGCAGACTTGGTTGGGTTATCACTTTTAAAACCTGGGGGTAAGACCATGTAAACTTCTTCATCTAGGTCACCATGTAGAAAGACATTATTTATGTCAAGTTGCTGAATATCCCAATTGTTTGCAATTGCCACTGCCAAGAAGGTCTTGATAGTGGTCATCCTTGCAACAGGAGAGAATGTCTCTGTGTAGTCCACTCCCATTTGTTGAGTGTATCCCTTAGCCACCAACCTTGCTTTAAACCTTTCTATGGTACCATCAGACTTATGTTTGATTTTGTATACCCACCTACATCCAATGGGAAGTTTTCCTGTGGGTAAGTCTGTCAAAATCCATGTGTTGGTCTGAACTAATGCATCAATCTCAGATTCCATGGCCCTTCTCCATTCATCATGTTTTACAGCCTCATGGTATGGATGTGGTTCCATAGGTGTGACTACAGAAGATATACAGAATTTCTGTATAGGATGAGGAGAAGATCCTATAGCAGATATCTTACTTGTTCCAGTGTTGGACATAGAGTGGCAGTAGTAATCATTTAGCTTATGAGGAGCCATCCTTAATCTAGTTGATCTTCTAGGCTGTGCACTGTGATTATTTGTTGCACTAGACCTCTCAGAGCTCATATCAACATTGGCATTACTGTCATTAAAACTGCTGCTGTGATGGCTTATATCTCTGGGACTGTTTCCATTACCAATTTCTGAGGTGACTCTATGACTGGGAGTCCTTTCATCAGGTTCTAGGACTTCTGAATCAGGTGAAGCCTCTGGGAGTGGAATTTCAGTTGAAATAGGAATTAGAGGAAGTGGGGGACTATCAACATCACATCCATCTGAGCTTTGATCTTCTGTTTCTCTGAAGGGATATGTGAGCTCATAAAACCTGACATCTCTGGAAATGAAAGTTACTTTGTCAATAAGATCATAGAGTATATACCCTTTCACATTTGCTGGATACCCCAGAAAAATACACTTTCTTGCTCTTGGTTGCATTTTGTTTCTCCCCTGGGAAATAGTGGCCCCAAAGCAAAGGCATCCAAAGCTTTTAAAATGTTCATAGCCAGTATTTTTTCCTGTCAACAGTTTAAGAGGAGTGTTTCCACCAAGAACATGAGTAGGTAAACTATTGATGATGTAAGAGGCATGTATCACACAGTGTCCCCAAAATTCTAATGGCAATCCAGATTGAAACCTCAAGGATCTAGCAACATTTAAAATGTGCTGATGTTTCCTTTCTACAACTCCATTTTGCTGAGGGGTATGCACACATGTTTTCTGATGGACTATGCCTCTCTCAGCATAGAAGTCATTCATCAAGAATTCTGTCCCATTATCTGTTCTTATCACCTTAATCTTAGCAGAGAATTGAGTGGACACATAGTTGCAGAAATTTTGAAATATGTTTTTGACTTCAGATTTACTCTTCATCATATGTAACCAAGTAAATCTGCTACAATCATCAACTATGGTTAAGAAATAATGTTCACCTTTGAGGGAAGCCACAGAGAAAGGTCCCCACACATCCATGTGTATGAGATCAAAGCAGTGTTCAGCTTTAGAATTGCTGACTGGAAAAATAGGCTTCTTATGTTTAGCAAAATTGCAAGCATCACAGACAAAATCACATTGTTGCTGTAAGGAAGTAAATTTTATTCCATTCAAGAGGGAAATCTTATTAATGGGATAGTGTCCCAACCTATTATGCCACAATCCCATTGTCACACTATTACATTGAGGGTTATCTACAACAACTTGTTGAACATTCTTCTTAATAGGAGGACTGTTGATCAGATATAGGCCATCCTTTTCTCTAGCAAAACCAACCTTGGTTCCAAGTTGACCCTGGACAGTACAAGAATCAGCATCTATCACAATCTTGCACCCAGACTGCTTAGTTAATTTACTAGCAGATATGATGTTAAAGGTAAAAGATGGGATATACAGCACATTTGTCAGCAAAATGTTTTCATCAAGCTTGATTTCCCCTAAGTGAGTAACACTGACAATATCACCATTAGGCAACTTCACAGATAATCCCTCAATCTTGTGATATTTATCAAGAAATTGTAATGACGACACAATGTGGTCTGTGGCCCCTGAATCCAATATCCATATTAAATGTGTATTAAGGACAATATTAACATGAATTCTAGGTACAGAATTACCTTCATTTTGTCCTTCCAGAGAATTCTTGAAATCAGATTTGATTCCAGAAGTGTTCACTGACACAGCTGCATTACTCAACACTTGACCACCATGGTTTTGATTATGAAGGAGAGATACCAGCTTCTGGAATTGGTCAGCTGAAAGGCCTGTGTCATTCAACTGACTAACTGCTGAACTTGAGGGTTGTTGCATGTCTTGTGATTGTTTATTCTTGGATTTGTATCCTGCTACCCACCCAGGTGGGAATCCATGTTTCTTGTAACATTTATCAACAGTATGACCAAGCATGTTACAATAAGTGCACTTTGGCACATTCTTATCCCCACTATTTGAAAATTTCTTTCTGTTATTGTTGTAGGCAGCAGCTGCTACTACAGATTGTTCTTCCCCAATTTGGATTTGACTCTCATGAATAGCATTGGATTGAGCAAAATCACTGCACCTTTGGGTGTTTGAACCTTTAAGCTTTCTTTCAACCTTCAAGGTCATATTCAACACTTTCTCCATCTCTGGAATGGGGTCCATAACAAGAACCCCAAATTTAATTGCTTCATATTCATCATTTAACCCTTCAAAGAATCGGATCACTTGGTCCCCTTCCATCTGTTTCTGCATTCTATTCATTAGAGTGCATGAACATCTTGGCACACACTCGCACAGGAGTAGAGGCCTCAATGCACTCATTTGTTGCCATAGGGCATTACTTTTTGTGAAGTATTCATTCACAGACATTTGTCCTTGCACATTCCTAAAAATTTCAGTCTGAATTTCAGAAATTCTATGAGGATCAGATTGGGAATACCTCTTCTGCAACGCATTCCAGATGTCTATGGCCTTGTCATAGTACATAACGCTCTCTGCTATGCTTGGATTGATAGACCTCAGAATCCAAGAGCATACAATGCGGTTGCATCTTCTCCAAGTCGTCAACCTCGGATCATTAGCTTCTGGAACTGGAACGATTCCATTGACAAACCCGAATTTGTTCTTCACCTCCAGTGCGATGCGCATCGATCTACTCCAGGAGTTGTAATTGATCTCGGTTAGGGGAGGTGACACAAGACTGAGATTAGGGTTCTCAGTAGCGTGTAAGTAAAGAGGATCTTCAAACTCATCATTGTGCAGATTCGATGGGATTTGGCTTGAAGAGGCTCCTGTCTGCTCTGTCTGGTTGTGGTTTCTGTCACCGGCCGGCTCCATCACAACTGCTGCGGCGTAACTCCGGTGAGGCTCTGATACCATGTTGGAGAACTTGGATTCAGGAACAATGGTGTGTATTCATTACAATCAGAGAAAGCTCATAAGAGCTGAAAACCATACAGAATGAATTGAAAGATAACAAAAGAAAGAAGCAGCCTTTTGCTACTTAAGCCCTAGAGTAGTTATGGAAGTTATAACTAACTAAACTAACAAACTAACTCTAGGAAAAGACAAAAGAGCCCTTGGCTATAAAAGGTGGAAGAGAGAGCTGCTGTTTTCTGCTATGATCTACTGATGGCTTCATCATCTAGGCTGCATTATCTTCATTAGTGCTTTGATCAGAAAATCTGCACTATACTCATAGATCTGCTTCATGAGATACGAATCACTGCAAACGTGATTGACTTGATTTGATGAGCACTGCACTCAGACTTTCATTAGCTTATGGAAACAACGAACTGCCGTAGTTATCTACAGTCTGCTAGAACAACGACTGCTAGGCTCTGGATCGGAGGCTTTGATACCATTTCAAGATTATGAAGATCATAAATCTATGAGAATTGTTAAGTGTTTATGGTGTCGATGAAGGAAGATAGAGAAAGTTTCGTTCATGATTTCATGTATGTTGAATTTAGAAATTTGTATTTACAATAGAAAACTTGAATATAAAAGCTTGAATTTTTTTTTTTTTGGGCAGAGATAAAAGCTTGAATTACTGCATGTAAGACTAACTTTGGATGTAAACTAACTCTCTCTCTCTGTCTCTCTAAACTCACATCATGTAGAACTATCTTTTATTGTAAACAAATCTGCATGAGCAGCTCATCAGTTGGTTACACACACTACAAGAAAAACAACTTTTAACGACAAAAAATTAGTGACGGGTAGAAAAACCCCTCACTAAATGTATTATTTGCATAGTTTTTGTGAGGGTTAAAAATTACTCTAGCTAAAGGTTTATGATTTAGTGACGAAATTTTAATTTTATATTTATTTTAATGGTATACTCTCACTATTGATATGAAAGATGGTGTTACTCTCACTATTGATGTCTCATTACACTAAAATCTAATTCCCACCAAAACTTTGTTTTTTGGGCGCCTTCTCTCAAACTCTTCGTAATTTCAAAAAATAAATAAATAAATAAATAAACTCTTCGTTCGTGAACCCTAAAATCATAATCGCAGTCGCCGCCGGCCAACTACGCAACCATCTCTTGCTTCTCTGCCTCGCTCTGTCTCTTAATCTCTCAAAAGACTACAGGAGATAGGAGTCGTAGCCCACCCGCCCTCTCTCCACACAGCCCTCTCGCATGTCGCCGCTTAGACCACTGCTGGGAATCAGTGATTTCTGACCACTTTTCTGACACCGTCAGAGCATGATGATATTGAGCAATCCGAAGATGACGAGGTGAAGTTTAAGTTATATCTTACATTTCAATTATTTTAATGTTTATTTTTGTTTCCCTTAAAAAATGTTTATTTTTGTTTATATTTGAAATTTAAACTATTTTATTGCTTATTTTAGTTATTGCTTGAAATGTGCTTTCATTTGCCTAAAAAATATTGAAGTGATTTTTAATTCACTTGTGTGATTTATAAATTGTTTTAAAACAAAATTGTTGGCCGAAATTTTGGCGCCGAAGACAACCGCGTTTTTTTCCCTCGTATATCAATTAAATCAATTAAATATTATTAAAGATAAAGATTAAACACTTCATTTTTTTCACGGCAAAGGGCATCTCTCTGTTCACTCCAAGGGTTTTAGTGTTTCACGGCAAAGGGTTTCCGCCCTTCACCACTGCCGTCCGCCGCAACCTCCATAGGTCAGGAAATCAGCAGCAACCTCCATAGGTACGTTGGGAAGGGAGGAAATCGCAACTCCAACAGGTTAATTTCTACTGAAGGGCTACTGAAGGTCAGCGACCACCGGGAAGGGTTTCTTTGGGTCAGGAAGTCAGCAGCAACCTCCATAGGTACGCTGGGGATGGAGGAAATCGCAACTTCGGTAGGTTAATTTCTACCGAAGGTCAGCGACCGCCCGGAAGGGTTTCTCTGGGTCAGGAAATCAGTAGCAACCTCCATAGGTACGCCATTCCTGCGAGGCCACTGCAAGTTTGTGTACATATAAGTTTATTGGTTGTTGATCTAGTTTTTAGAGTTTCTGACATTCTCTCATTTTGTTTGTTTTGTTTTGTTTTTGTTTTTGTTTTTTGTTTCTTATCCACAGAGTGGACTTCCATTGGTTCAAGCACTAGATTTTGAGGTTGAGGCTGTTTAAATGTAGATTTTGGTTCAGGTACATTTCCTAAGCTTGTGCACTGACCTCTTATTTTTAATGTATCTTTACCAAATTTTGAGTATTTAAATGTCATTATGCTTTATTTGTGTTGTTTATAATGTTAGGGTTGTGCTCTTAGATAACTAATCTGTTAGGTTGTATTAGTTTGCTTTGTCACTGGTGTTCATTGGCGTGCTTGCTGTGTGGGTATGACAGGTTTTGCCGGTGTAACTATTTCTATAGTTTCCTGAGAACACCTGCATTGCATTGAACTGTTCAACTTTGGGGAATTTTCTAACTTCATTCATTCTCTTGAAGGCAGGTAAATGATGTTGAACCTGGTTTTCTAGTGTATAATATTTCCATCTTCAAACCCTTGTACATGTGTCCTTTATTCTATGTGAAATTTGCAACATTGTTAGGATTTCTGAATGCTGTAATCAATTATTAAATGCACTCGATGCCTTGTGGTGTTTGAAATGCCAAATGCAAATATTTTTTTTTTAAATGAAAGCTCATAACTTGTCTATAGAATTTGTATTTTAATTGTTTGAATTAGAGACTTTGTTTCAGAGTATTTCCTCTTTGTGTTTTGTTCCACTGTGAAATATTCCATAGATTCTCATTAGTCATACGACTGCATCTACGTATTTTTAGTTTTGGACTGTTTCTCTCCCTAAGTTGGTGAGCTTGCAGTAATATATCTTACTAGATTCTTATGAACTAACTGTCTTAGTCCTTTGATGGCACTATTGTGCTTTAGTTGTGGACAATCTCTCTCTTTGGCTCCTTGCTAAGTTGATGTGATTGTTACAAGCCTGCAATAGATCTTGCAGAGTGTCCTTGTCTATAATTCATTAGTCCTAAATGTACTGATTCTGCTCCTCCTGATAGTATACAGGTCTACAGAAATATCTGTGATAATACTGACTTCGTGTACTAGCAAAGCTGAATCTGATGGCTATCATACTGGGCTAACTTCAGTATTTTATCCAAGTTAGAAGCATAATTCCCAAAAGCATCACCTTGTTGTGTATCTTGTTGATGCAAACTGATAGCTGCCACAGTGCTGGCTAGTGCAATTCTAGCCTACAGTATCAATGCTCAATTATGACAATACTTTCCAGCAATTACCTTGTTCTGCAATTCTGTATTCTCTTAACAAATGAGATTTAGGTTCTTACAGAGTTCCATGTTTTATTGATGAACAAGACTTCCCTGCATTGGACAAGAGTCTTATATTCAGCATAAGCATAAGTACAATGTAGAATAGATCATTCCGGTATCTATCCAACAACACCTTTTGATTTAGTTCCTTGATCTCATAAATTGGTGAAATTAGATATCTTCCAAGTAGACAAGTACTTTACCTTTCTCGTTCGAATACCTTTCAGGCTCACTTCAAGTTGATTCTCCAGATTTGTCAGATCTTTGATACTTAGTCCAAAAAGTTCTTTTCCCAAAAGCTGCCTGCATTTATGTGAAACAAAGAACTGGTATGCTTCTTGTCTTTTGCTTTTGCTTCATTTAGCTTTCACCTTATCTTGATCATTTTTAGACAAAACTATCTTATGCATTTTCTAAAAACTGCCCTTAACATTGCATGGAAGCAACACATTCCTGTAAAATTTGGGATATCTTTTCTAATATTTGTTCAGAATTCAAAGTGTTTTATTTGTTACTCTGTTATATCTTCATATTATGCTTCCTCAAAACTGAACTGTTGCATCAATCTTAGATGGCTCAAATAGACGGTAGGATGAAGTTTAGGAAAACGAAGGTGGGTTTTGTTAAGTATTTATCAGCTAAACAAGAATCTCCTAAACATGAACAAGAAGATGATTCTACAGAAGATCAAAGTAATGTCAAAGAATTCGTTGATATAACTTCAATTCGGCATTCAGTGAGGACAGCTAAAAAACATTCAAGTATTTTCTTAACTTATTTTCTTGTTTACTATTTCTTGTATTGATCTGTATAATGATGTTGTTTGTAACTTTTAATGCTACCAATCCATTGGTTTTTTTCAAATGATATGAAAGTGAACAGAATTATAACGGTAACTTGTCTATTTATATTAATTAATACAGTGCATGAATTTTATGGAATGCATGAAGACCACATAAATCAATATAAGTAAATAATAGTTAAAATGATAACTGCTTTGGCCATATTCATTTCCTGGTATGGAAAGATTAGAAAGAACATGCTAGTTCTGGATTTCAGATAAAAAAAATCTTGCATGTTCATAGATGCAGAGGTTAATTTAACAAATCAAGTTTTCTTATGTGAGATTTAATATATTTAAACAATTTCATCAGTACGGTAGGACCTTTTTGATTGGCAAATGCTAAAACTAGCTACTTTGATCTTGTGTGCAGTGAAATAGTCTCTATCATTGTCTCTCTTCTTGTCCATATATATGACGAAGTGGAAGGAGTTCTTCCCCAAAAAAAAAGACTTGAAGTACTCACCATACTTTGACAGACAGTGTATTTGCTATCCTTCCTCTGAAGCTTTGTGAAGATGCGATTATTTAGCATCTATAATGCATAGCCAAGAATTTGGTGCATTTAGTGAACTATTTCTCCAATTCCATCTTGTTGGGTTGGTTGAATTGTGAGTCTTTAGTCTTTACAAATTGTATGAAACATTTCATTTTGGTAGTGATGATGAAGTTTTTTAATATACTGATTGAGTTTACTTTGATTGCATTATGGTAAAAATTTTAATTTTTATCAACACAATATCTATAGTTACAACATAACATAATATCGATTAGTGAGGAAAAAATGTATTATAAAAATTAATATTTAATAAGAAGTAACAATATATATATATATATATATATATATATATATATATATAATTATAAAAATAATATTTGACACTAAATTATAATCTTTAGTGACGGTATTTTTCATCATTACAAGAATATAATGAGAGGAAATTATGGTAGTGAGTAGTTGTATTAGTGACGGGATTTTCTGTCACAAAAAGAATGTTTTAGTGACAGTAAATATACTATCACTATATGCTTACTAATGATGGTATCATATCCCGTCACTATTTGTTTTAACCTCGGAAGAAATAACGACGGGTGGCGACGGTAAATTTCCCATCATTAAAAGTCTTTTATGATGGTTTTTGATTTTTTAGTGACGGTTTTACCTCTCACTAATGAACAATTTTCTTGTAGTGACAGGTGAAGTTTGGAAAAAATGACCAAGGATTGAGTCTCACCAGCAATAATGTGGGAACAACCTTTTAAAGTCTGCGCAAAGGTCTAGTCACTCACTGCTGGAAATCTTTGATTTTCTGATCATTTTTAAGCCACCTAAAAAAATGGTCGAAAGGTGATATTTTTTCAATTTTTTGTCAAAAGATTAAGGTAGGGAAATAAGTCGGAATTTCCGACCACCTTTACTTAGTGGTTGGAAATACCATGACAGTTTAAATTTTTTTAATTGAGTTGAGAATTTCCGTCAATCTTTCTAGTAGTCGATTATTCTGATCACTTTTCAAAGTTGGATGCTATTTCCTACCACCTTTCCGGTGGTCGGAAATAGTGACAAAGGTGTTTCCGGATACCAAAAGTGATCGGAACAAGGACTTCCAACTTGATTTAAGATTACTTTCAAGTGGTCGAAAATTTCTTAAATTCTAGCCGTAACTCTCTGTTCAGTTGAGTTACCAGGATGGTGGCCACTCTTTTCTATCTTCATTCAAGCTGCAAATCCTACAATTTTAACTCTAACAAGGAACAACTCCAATAGGCAAACTATATATGCTCTATATACTTGCACATTTTCCCACTTTTTATTTTCTATATGTTTTAAAACGTTGTTTCTCCATATATATATATATATATATATATATATATATATATATATATATATATATATACATCAAATGACGGATCTAATTAATCATTAAACATACATTTACGAATAATATTCATAATGTATATATACTCCTGTACAGTCATAATCTAAAGTGGACCAAATTATATAATTGACATATATATCTTATGATTATTTGAAGCCAAAAATATAAAAGGATTGGAGCTTAGAAAATAGGGTCTACCATCAGCCACATACAATTGATATTTATTCTAAGGGACCATAATACAAAGTATTAATAAATTAAATACTAATTAATACAATTTACACTTAGAGAGTACAATTTGCAACTTGAACAGGTGATGATCCAGTTGTACAGCTGCATGCATTTGGTCCAGAGGAGTCAGGTGATGATCCAGTTATATTTTTGACTAAATAATTTTCTAAGATTTTGAAAAACAGGTATCTCAAAAGAACAATTCACGCAATAGCAAGTTTCAAAACAAGAATGGATCAAGCTCTAACACATCGAGGAGTGGTCCAAAACCTAGTTCGTCAAACTACAAGTCTTCTGCCTCACGTCGAGCTCAATCAAAAGACAAATCAAATGGCAAAGGTATTCGCTGTTATGAATGTGAAGGGTATGGTCATGTCCAAGTTGAGTGTCCCACCTACCTAAGACGGAAAAAGTCTATGTTAGCCGTTACCTGGAGTGACGACGAACCTGAGTCAGAAGACGCTGGATCTGATGCAGAATAAATATCTGAAAATTTCGTAGCATTCACTACCAGAAGGATGTGAATATACCTGAAGGTGCCACTGATTCAGAAGGAGGTGAATATACCTTAGCCGAATATTTCGAATTACTACCTCTTTTTTATGAAGTAGAATATACAAAATTGTACTCAAAATGGGAGGTTTTACTTAAAGCTAATTGTTTTTTGTCTAGTGAGGTTGGAATATTAAATAATGCTAGAAAAGTGTACAAGGGTCAGGGAGCTGATAGAGATGTATTCCTTAAGGCAGCGCTTGATCAAGAAGAAAAGTTGAGGCAGGTGATAAAAGCAGGAGCTGATCGAAGACGCTCTAAAAGCAAATTCAAATTCGCTGACACGACCGTGTTACCTTCTATATGCCCCCCATGACATTGCATCTTCAACACAAGTAGGAACGAGGTGTTTTTGCTGCAAAAGGGAAAACATTCTCATTAAACCAAATATGGCGAATAGTAAGAATATTTCCAATATCAAGATTCAAACAACGATATCCTCTAAATGACTCTAAGTACACATGTAAGACGAAGGGACTGGAGCGAAACTCTATTGTGCATGTGCTTATTGTAGAGTCGGAGATAGGGGAAGTAAAGACAACCAAAGGCAAGAAGGAAAGATTAGTTTGGGTTTGCTTTGTTAAATATGGCATATGGGCTCATATTGTTTAAGGTTGCAAAAGGCATACATTTAATTAGAAAAATTGCACTTTCATCATGGGCATATAAACCCAAAATCTAGAAGGTACAGAGGCATGAGCAAATAAAGTGAGTCTAGTTTCAATAATATGTCCATGGCGTCTCTTAACAGAACCATTTTGTTAATGTGTGTAAGGTGACCTAGCTTTCTACTATCGCTCTTGCGCACTTGTACTTAACAACACATTATTCGACTCCCATCCGCCGTCCTAGAGAGCATAACGTACTTCACTCTTACTCACACTTTCCACCTTACCCTACGCTAGCTACGACTTATCGTCATTGGATTACCTAGACCTAATCATATACTCCTAATCACGTCCTCTTTTCTTATCATTATATTGTTTCATTACTTGTGTTTGATTGTTATTTGCATCAAATATCTTTTTCTAGGACTATATTTCCATAAAAGGATTTAGTACCTTGTGCTTGAGAATCTTATTAAACTCTACATCTATCATCAATCCTTTGAGAACAACAGTAATCCCCCTTTCAAAATATACTCTTCAACCAATTTATTCAACTCCCTCTAGACTATTTTTATAAATCAGGATCATCACATACATATAAAATTGGACAGAGAGGGTATATTTTAGAATTATTATTTTAAACCTAAAATGTAAAAGGAGCTGATAAAAAAAAAAAAAAAAAAAAAAAGGGGGGGGGGGGGGGGGTGTATATATTACCACCAGCCATAGTTGACATGCATTATTTTCTCCTTTATTAATTATTGGGACCATATATATAAAATACATATAGTACATCAAATTAAAAACTAATTAATGTATACTTTAGGATTACAAAAATTGTCAAACAAGTAATAAATAAATAATGAACAGATACTACAATGTAATAGAACCTGTAGCATTCAAAAAAAAAAAAGTAATAAATAAATAAATGGTTTTCGACAAAAAGAAAATGGAAAAGAAAAAAGAAAACTGCCTATAAATAGGATTTCGTTCCAACAGCAGAGTACGAACACACAGCACAAATATATCAATCAATCAATCAAACCCTCGAAATATATACAATGGCTTCTTATTCCTATGCAACCTTTTTGATGTTTTTGTGCGTAGCGATGGTGGCATTAACAGCGCCATCGGCAGCTAATACAGTGACCACAGTGACCTTGAATGGCGCCCTTGTTTGCGCCAACACGGGAACGCCCGTCGTGCAGGGCGTCATAGCTTCATTGCTATGCGGCCGATCTACCATAGTCCCAAGAGGTGTTGTGTTGACTGCAACCACTTCAGCCACCGGAACGGTCAGTGCTTCCGTGAATGTTGGTCCCCGCACAAGAACTGCTATCGAGTCGCCTCTGTGCCTGCTTCTTCTCCCGCCACAAGCCTGTCCCGGTAGTCCCATTGTAACGCTAGGGGCTACCGTTACTGTTGGTAGATCTGGAAATACGCGTACCGTCACCCCAGCGTCCCAAGTAGGCCCTCTGCCCAATCTTCCAATATCAACCTAAACTTGTATGCATGCAATGCATGCATCCCTATATACTATTATGTTCTTCTCCGATCCGATCCGATCCGCTTTATATATATAACTATCTAGCTATATGTGTTTTTCAATTTCTAAATAAATTTGCTTTCTTCATCACTCTGTGGCTATGTACACAAGCTTTGAGTGATGGAAGGAGCAGAATGTAAGAAGCCTTAGAGGCTATATCCTATATGTGTATGTTTCCTTTTTATCTTTAGTTTTAATTTATCAAATAAAAGGGGGAGAATAATTTAAGCTTTATTTATTATTACTGCTTACTTTACTTTAATGAGTTATTCCTTATTGTTTTCTCCTATCAAAACATCACATATTCATGATGACAAACGCAATTAACATCACAATGCAGATATCTAATTATCTGGATGACATTCTAAAAGTTTTAAATTATAATTTGGGAAAAGGGTCAAATAAGCCCTCCAACTATTGCTAAGAAGTCAATTAGGCCCTCCAACTATTTTAAGAAGCAATTACACCCCTAAATAATGTATTTTGATGCAAAGAAGTCCAAATACAGGTAAATGACCTGTTATCCCAGGTCATCGCAAATCCGGCGACACTCCGACGTATTTTCCAGCGAAAAAGTGACCGGCGACCGGCGAACGGTCGCCGGTCACGGAGACCCCTCCCGGAGAAGGCAACCCAGAAATCTGGGTTGCCTTCTCCGGTCCTCGACCAGAGAAGGCAACCCAGATCTGGGTTGCCTTCTCCATGGTGGCCTTCTCGGCCGGAGAAGGCAACCCAGTGTCGAGGACCGGGGGTCTCCGTGACCGGCGACCGTTCGCCGGTCGCCGGTCACTTTTTCGCCGGAAAATACGTCGGAGTGTCGCCGGATTTGCGATGACCTGGGATAGCAAGTCATTTACCTGTATTT